TGATATGACAATGAAATATTATGACTATTGTTATTACTATTACTACTATTATTATTATTACTATTATTACTACTATTATCACTATTATTATTCTTACTATTATCACTATTATTATTCTTACTATTATCATTATTATTACCATTATTACTTTTACTTTTGATTATTTTTTTTTATTTCTCTTGTCTTCCGAAAGGCTTGCGACCGAAGCGGCCTTGCTCGGTGCCGGACACGCTCGTGGAAGAACTGGAGGCCTTGCTGGGGCCCTTCCAATGTGCCAAGGGTTTGGGGTTTCGGGTTTAGGGTTTGGAGTTTAGGGTTTAGGGTTTGGAGTTTAGGGTTTGGGATTTAGGGTTTGGGGTTTAGGGTTTAGGGTTTGGGTTCCTTTGCTGCGGTTTCCCAAAATTAGGGGACCTTTTCAGGGGTCCCAATACTAGTTAAGGACTACAACATTCCCAATAATGATCAAGGACTATAATATTCCTAATCATAATTAAGGGCTACAATGTTTAAGGGTATATATTGGGGCTCCCCCATTTACCATATGTACAGTGTGGCTACCTTTTTTGGGGTCCCAATTATAAGGACTGTAATATTTATGGGTATATTTTGGGGCTCACCCTAAACCCTAAACCCTAAACCCTAGACCCTAAACCCTAAACCCTAAACCCTAACTACCAATGTCGTGTAGGCCGAGCTTGGGATGGAACGTGCAGCTGCAGTTGCTGCTCGGCCGCCTTCAGCTTGCGACTTTGTGTTTCAGCCCTTTATGGGTTTAGGGTTTAGGGTTTAGGGTTTAGGGTTGACTGTTATTACTGGTATTTATCATTATTGCTACTATGGTTGTTAGTACTGTTATTTAGTATTATGACTGCTATTTATTATTTCTACTGTTATCATTCTTATTATCATTATTATTACTGTTAATTCTTAATATTACTACTATTATTACAGTATTCTTACTGCTGTTATTTATTATTATTACAATTATCATTATTTTCTATTGTTACTGTTATTTGTTTGTATTACTACAACAACTACTACTATTTTTACTACCACTATTGATACTGTGCCAGCAGATTGTTGATGCGCCTTGCAGGTTGCCTTCCTGGAGGCCATGCTCAACAACAATACTTGCAACAATGATATTGATAATGACAATAATAATGATAATGGTAATAACAAGGTAAAGGTAGTAACAACCATAATAGTGGTAACAACAACAATAATGGTAACAACAATAATGGCAATAGCAACAATAAGGGTAATGGTAATGGTAGCAATGTATATCTTTTAGTTTGCATGAAGCCAGCAAAATTTGGTAGTTTCCCAAAATAGGGGAACCCCAATATAGACCCAAAAATATTCCAGTCCTTATTATAAGGACCCTCAAGAAGGTACCCCTAATTCTTGGGAAATTACCAAATGACGTCTGTTCTGGCGTTGCAAGGAGCTGCAGCCGCTGCTCGAGGAAGCCACAGACCTCACGCAGGAGTTGCGGGGCAAGCGCGTGGCGTCGCGCTGAGCTGAAGAGTAGTTTCCATTTTTCCATTATAACTCCTACGCTCCTATGATATCGATATATAACTCTGAAGATCTCCTGCATTACCCTATATAACTCCTTATACATCTTCCATTATTATCCTACAAAACCCTGATGTTCCCTTCGAAGGTGCCCAAACTGGGTTGCTGTTAAGGAACTTGCATGAAGTTACCACAACGGGAATCTATAGTGATTAATATGGTTTCCCCCCTAAACCCTAAGCCCTACACCCCTAACCCCTAACCCCTGAACCCTAAAACCCTGAACCCTAAAACCCTAAAACCCTAAAACCCTACAACCCTAAACCCCTAACCCCTAAACCCTAAAGCCCTAAACCAGCAAAACTGACCTCCCTTTGAAGTGCTTCGGCCTGCAAGGGATTTCATGCCGAAGTCCTACATAATGGTCTTGGGACATCTGACCAGCCTGGCAGGCAAGGGATTTAGGGTTCAGGGTTTAAGGGTTTTAGGGTTCAGGGTTTTAGGGTTTTTCGGGTTTTAGGGGGTTTAGGGTTTTAGGGTTTTAAGGTTTTAGGGTTTAGGGTTTCAGGGCAAACTTCACTGCTTGGAAAGCGGTGCCTAGCTTGGAATCGCATTTTGCAGAAACCATTTGGTGTGTATGCAAGTGACCTTAGACACGTTAAGCGTGTGGATCTGCCAGCGTGTTTAGGGTTTTAGGATTCTAGGGTTCAGGGTTTTTGGGTTTAGGGTTTTAGGGTCTTCAGGGTTTGAGGGTTTGAGAGTTTCAGGGTTTTAGGGTTTTAGGGTTCAGGGTTTTCGGGATTTTGAGTTTTAGGGTTCAGGGTTTCAGGGTTTTAGGGTTCAGGGTTTTAGGGTTCAGCGTTTTAGGGTTTTAGGGTTTTCGGGTTTTGGGGTTTAAGGTTGTAGGGTTTAGGACGCTTGGCATAAGCGAACATGCTTTAAGAAGGATGTGAAGGAGGGCAAACTTTTTTCAAAACCTTCAACCCCAAGCGTAGTTTCCGTTTTATTATCCAGCATCCCAATATTACGACAACCTTCAAGTCTTCGAAATGTGTGGAGGCCTCCTGAGCCGGAGGTTGTCATCGCATTGCGCGAAGGCCGAAAGCTTCAGTCCCCCTTCAGTAGATAGAATATGGGGTACATGGGGATCGTATGATACTATAAGTTATGGAACCTTTGGGAGTCTCAAGTGCCAATGTACGGATCTAGAGTCCCCCTTAAGTAGATAGAATATGGCTTTGGGAACTGGTTTTTAGCAGGGAATAAAAGAATATATCATATGGGGATGATATTCCCTTATTCTCTAGGATAAAATTCCTATTAGTTCTAAAGGTCCTTGTCTTCGGTGTACACTTGGGCGACCATTTCAGCTG